CCACTGGGGAACATTTGTGAATCTTTGTAGCTAGCAACGACTAATGTATCTCTCAACGCTTGAAAAATGCAAGCAATTTTTATTAGTTCGCCAAGTCCCACCGAGAGGGAAACGGAGACTTCGCTAGGAGATTCTGCCAACATCTGCCCAGTGCTTTCTCAGTTGTACCTCTACATGCCTAATGCACAAAGCCAAACAAATTGTGGGAAATGTGGGGAAAAGGTGGGTTTTCAGCCAAAAGAAATTCATGCAGACCCACGCTGACTGTGCAAGCATTGAGTGACAGGGCGTGCCGGGATACCATTGAACCACCTTTTATGGTCTGTTCCCTAACTAGGTTAAGCTAACAATTACAGGTAGTCCTTGACTTATCACAGTTCATTTAGTGATGGTTTCAAAGTTAAAACGGCACTGAAAAAAAGCGACTTATGGCCACTTTTCATACTTACGACTGTTGCAACCTCCTCATGGTCACGTGATCAAAATTCAGACACTTGGCATCTGACTCATATTTATGACGGTCACAAGGTCTCTGGGTCGCGTGATCATCTTTTGCAACCTTCTGACAAGCAAAGTGAATAGGGAAGCGAGATTCACTGAACAACCGTATTACTAAAAACAACATTTTTTGTTTTGTTACTTTGTATTTTAACTTTTTTTTAAAACTTAATCAAGTTGGTTTAAAAAGAACAATCTCCAGGGCTGTTATTTAACCCCTGTTTTGTAGTAATAGTAATAGTAATAGTAATAGTAATAGTAATAGTAATAGTAATAATAATAATAATAATAATAATAATAATAATAATAATAATAATAATAATAATAATAATAATACATGGCCAGTACATTAAAAAATATAGCTGGGAAAGCAGATAATAACAAGACCTGGCAATGGCTAAGAGCAGGAAAGTTGAAGAAAGAGACCGAGGGACTAATTCTGGCTGCACAAGACCAAGGCTTAAGGACAAATGTGTACAAAGTCAAAATTGAGAAGACAGCAACAGACAGTAAGTGTCGCCTATGCAAAGACGCTGAAGAAACAGTGGACCACCTGGTAAGCTGCTGCAAGAAGATCGCACAGACTGACTACAAGCAGCGGCATGACAAAGTAGCAACAATGGTGCATTGGAAGATCTGCAAGAAATATCATTTGCCTGTAAGCAAGAACTGGTGGGATCATAAAATAGAGAAAGTCATAGAAAATAATAAAGTTAAACTGCTCTGGGACTTCAGAATTCAAACAGACAAGCACCTGCAACATAACACCCCGGACATAACAATTGTCGATAAGAAAGACAAAAAAGTCTGGATAGTAGACGTGGCAGTGCCTGGAGACAGCAGAATAGACGAGAAAGAACTGGAGAAGATAACAAAATACAAAGACCTACAAATAGAAATAGAAAGACTGTGGCAAAGGCAAGCAAGGATAGTACCAATAGTAATAGGCGCCTTGGGTGCAATCCCAAAACAACTGGAGCACCACTTGAACACCATCATCGGCATTGACAAATATGCCATTAGTCAATTGCAAAGGGCAGCCTTACTAGGAACTGCTTCCATCCTGCGACGATATCTGTAACACCACCCAACATCCACATCTGCCTATCCCAGGTCCTTGGGAAGGACTCGATAGGTAGAGAAAAATGCCAAATCCAGTTTGAACATCTGGCTGACTGTGCGATGATCCATAATAATAATATTGACAAATTCACCATTAGTCAATTGCAAAAGGCGGCCTCACTAGGAACCGCTTCCATCCCACGACGATATCTGTAACACCATCAAACATCCACATCTGCCTGTCCCAGGTCCTTGGTAAGGACTCGATAGGTAGACAAAAATGCCAAATCCAGTCTGAACATCTGGCTGACTGTGTGATGATCAATAATAATAATAATAATAATAATAATAATAATAATAACAACAACAACAACAATAACAACAATAATAATAATAATAATTGAATAGCATAACTGGGAATAGCGGTGGGGGAAGATCCCCGAAATAATATGGACTAGTAACTCTGCTTCTAAATTCGAAAACCGAACGAAGTTTCAAATCTATAGGAGTCTAGACTTGCTGATTGTGTGAAATCATCCAGTCGCTTTTATTTAACTTTTTTTTTTTGGCTTCCAGGAACAAGCTGACCCTGTGTGACCCTTGGGAGGACTTGGCTCAGCTCCCATTCCAGCCAGACAAAACTTTCTTGTTTTTTTTCCAGCCAGACCAAATCTGTTCAGATGTTTAGGATAGGTGCATATCTGTTTGCGTGTGACAGCCCAAAGGGAGAAAGACGTTTTATAGTGACCCAGAAGATGTTCACGAACACGTCAGGAAGACATTCTGGCCGGCCAACACAGCTTAATTGCCTGCCTCAGTTTCTTTGGAGCTGTTCCCTATTTATTTATGAAACGGGACTGCCCAGTAGTTTGGCTCTTGAAGAAAAGTTCCTCAAAGGATCGCTGTTCCCTTACGTGCCACACTGGGTAGAGAATTCTGCTTTAGGCCGTGTTCCTTCGTTGGATCCTCTTCCTTGCCAGGTTGAATGGGGACAAGATTCTGACTGATCTTGGCTGGGAAGAGGGATGTGTAACGGTTCTTCTCAATTTATTTATTTTTTAATATTCAAAGTTTTATTAGTTTATAAAGCTACGGGAAATCTAGACAGCATACTCAAAAGCAGAGACATCACCCTGCCAACAAAAGTNATCAAACCGGTCAGTCCTAGAGGAGATCAACCCTGACTGCTCTTTAGAAGGCCAGATCCTGAAGTTGAAACTCAAATACTTTAGCCACCTAATGAGAAGGAAGGACTCACTGGAGAAGAGCATTTCTACTGTACACTTTTCCCAAAAGGTTTCCACAATTTAGGCCACTACTGTATCTGCAACCCTTGAAAGCAGCTATGTCTTTTTCCAGGATGACCCAGCAACTTTAAAGGGTATCCTAATAGGCGTATTGGCAAACCCTTCCAAAGGTTGTTTCAGACTGCATGGGACCACATATCCTTTCGTATCCTTAAAGTCGCTGCATCTTTTTACAGCTTTGGAATTTGCCAGCTGTCTTTGCCCACAGGATGCAGGCACAGCCAATTTAGAACATGGCTGTGCAGGCTGATAACTGCAAACATTGAATATATTTGCACCTCTGTGCATTCTGGAGCCTCTTTTATGGAATCCTACTGAAGTTCTCCACAGCCCCTCCACAGCCATCAGATGGTCTATGGCAGAACAAGGGCTTACTCTTGAGCAGACATGTCAAACATAAGGCCCGGGGACCTGATGCGGCCTGCGACATGGTTTCATGTGGCCCGCGAAGCCATCCTGGAAACAGTGAGGGAATGGCCCCCGCGGCCTTGGCCCCAGCCCTGGCCGCCCGGGAGCCAATGTACAATTTTGTGGTGGCCATCTATGCTGAAACACATTCAGTCTTAGCTCCACAAGGCCGTCTGGACACAGCGAGGGACCAGCCCCTGCCGCGTTGGCCCTGCACCCTGGGCGCGCGCTGGGGAGGTGTCACCCTTTGTGAGGAATGAAGACATGCACCATCGCCTGGAAGTGGCCAGCAAATGGCCCTCGCCTACTTCACATATCCGGCTTGATGGGCTCCAGGGGAGGGGTTTCAGCAGGCTCTTCCAGTGGACCATGCCTTGGCACTTGCCCCAATCCCACCCCCTTCTGCCAGAGACCCTCAGATCTGTCCCACTCCTGCCCAGGTCCCCACAGGCACCCTTGACACAAACGATGTAGAGCTGACCATGCCCACCCAGTAGGCCACGCCCACTCCAGCCATGCCCACTCAGTAGCCTGTGCCCACCCTGGCCACATCTACCCTGCCCCCCCCGAGGACAACCGCAATGCTAATGCGACCCTCAATGAAATTGAGTGTGACACCCCTGCTCTTGAGTAAACTTTTGATTTCTGAACAGATTTTGGTGTGGCTGGAAAAAAATCAAGAAAGTTTTGTCTGGCTGAAATGGGCGCCTAACCAAGTCCTCCCAAGGGTCACCCAGGGCCAGCTTGTTCTTAGAAGTCAAAAAAAAAGTTAAATAAAAGCAACTGGATGATTTCACACAACAACCGTGTCTAGACTCTTCTATGCCTTCCTACAGATTTGAAACTTCCTTCGGTTTTTGAATTAAGAATCAGAGTTACTAGTCCATATTATTTTTGAGATCTTTCCCCCACACCATTCCCAGTTATGCTATTCAGCCCCCACACCATTCCCAGTTATGCTATTCAGCCCTGGAGACTGGTTTTTTTTAAACCCACTTTATTAAGTTTCAAAAAAAAAAAGTTAAAATACCAAGTAAACAAGCATTCCTCTATTTGCTAATCGACACGAAGACTTTGATGTCTCTGTTCCTAGTGGATCAATACGACCTTATCTTCTATGCTCTAGTCTAGACTAGTTTCAGGGACCCTGCCTCCTCTATTGATCCAGGCCAAATTGGATCTCTGATATTGATCGGAAGCATCGATTCCCAGCCAAAGAGATTCTAAAAGTACTGAGCAACTGAACTGAATCACGCCACAGTTTTTCCAACAAAGAAAAGCGACAGATACAGGTAGTCCTCAACTTACGAGCCCAAAATTTCTTTGCTAAGCAAAACAATTAAGTGAATTTTGCCCCCCTTTTACAACTTTTTTTTTTGCCACAGTTCTTAAGTTAGTATCACGGATGTTAAGTGATATCGGGCTTCCCCCATTGATTTGGCTTGTGAGAAGGCCACAAAAGGGGATCGCCCAAGACCCCAGGACAGTGCAACCGTCATAAATATGAGTCAGTCACCGAGCATCTGAATTTTGATCCCATGCCGCGGGGAAGCTGCGACAATTGTGTGTGAAAAAGGGTCTTAAGTTGCTTTTTTTTTTCCCAGGGCTGTTGTAACTAACAACGAAATGAATGGTTGTAACTCGAGAACTACCTGTGGCGTATAAACCTTGAGGAAAAGAACAAAAGAGACGGTAAATGAAATGATCCGTAGACAGAAGCTATACCTTTACTTTGGAAATCAGGGAGAATATCGGATGAATTCTGGGCAATTGCTGACCTCCTATAAACCCTGTGAAGCCGTCCTTTCTCCTCCTCCATTTGTCGGCCTTTCTCCAGGGGCTCAATGAAAAATTCCTCTTCACCAACTTTGATCATGCCAGCCTAGAGACAGAGTAAGGGGAAAAAAAATAAGGAAGAGGGCTTAAACAGATAAAGAATCCACCCTGCAGATCTGTAAACACGAACCGTTAGAACAGAATAATAACTTTATTACCCCTTTGAACGTACACTAATCGGCAGGCGTTAAAATGAAATTTTGTGGTGTACAGCTCTCCAAGCCCAAAACTGCTGTTGCTAAGTGAGACATTTGTTCAGTGTTTTAAGAAGAGAACACAACACAAAACCACTCCGACACCTTGCATGACAGTTAGTCCTCAACGTACGGATGAGAAAGGCACATCTTCCTTCCCCTGTCCTGACCACTTTCTACAGGGGGACGATCGAGAGCATCCTGTCATACGGCATCACAGTCTGGTTTGGAGGCATCCCTGCTTCAGACAGGAAGGCGGTACAGAGAGTGGTGAGGACGGCCGAAAAGATCATTGGCAGTTCCCTCCCTCCCATCCAGGACATGGCACAGAAGCGCTGCTTGAGCAGGATCCGTAAGATCATCTAGGACATGACACATCCTCTTTACAACCTGTTTTCCTTGTTACCTTCTGGGAGGAGGGGGCTTCGTGTATCCGTAGAAGAACATCCAGATTCAGCCAGAGTTTCGTTCCATACAGCATTAACCTTGTGAACTCTCAAGCTTCCTCCTTCCGTTATATATTCAAGATGGATAGTATTTAATAGTTATTTGTTACATATTTGTAGGGGTGTGGGTCTATACATATGTTGAATATAGTATGTTTAGGTTTGTGTCATGTATGTGTTTCACTTTGAGAGCGGGCAACTAAATTTCATTTTTTGATGTGTGCCGTTGTGCCCACAGTAAAAAAAAAATGACAATAAAGGTTATCTTATCTTATCTCATTTAATATCCATTCAAAGTTATGGCAGTGCTGGAAAAAATAGGGACTTAACGACGGTTTTTCACACTTACAACCATTGCAGCATCCCCCTGGTCACGTGATCAAAATTCAGACACTTGGCACCTGACTCATATTTATGATGGTTGCAGTGTCCCGGGGGGGGGGTGTCAAATGATCCCCTTTTGCGACTTTGTCAGAAGTCAAAGTCAAAGTCAACCCTGCCATGCAGTTCACTGTTTTCTATCCATTTTTGGTGGCACCCAATGACACTCCATAGCTGTGGGCTTCTCTTGCGCTTTTTCTCATGACAAATATTGTGAGTCCTTGACCTATAACCGTTTGTTTAATGTCTGTTCAAAGTTACAACGGCATTGAAAAAAGTGGCTTATGACCATTTTTTACTCTTAATGACCGCTGCCACATCCCCATGATCATGTAATCAAAATTCAGACACTTGGGAGCTGGCTCATATTTATGACAGTTGCCGTGGCCTGGGGTCACATGATCTCCTTTTGTGACCTTCCGACAAGCAAAGTCAATGGGGGAAGGCAGATTCACGTAACGTAACATAACAACGTAATGTAATGTAACGTAACATAACTTAACGTAACATAATGTAACTTGACTTGACTTGACATGATGTAACTTAACGTAACTTAACTTAACTTAACTTAACGTAACGTAACGTAACTTAACATAACTTAACGTAATATAACGTAATGTGACGTGACTTGACTTGACTTGACTTGACATGACATAACTTAACATAATGTAACGTAACATAAAGTAACTTAGCTTAGCTTAACTTAACGTGACATGATGACTTGACTTGATGTGATGTAACTTAACTTGACTTGATGTGACATGATGACTTGACGTGATGTGACATGAATTGACTCGACTCAACTCAACTCAACTCAACTTAACTTAACAACCCTGTTAGTAATTTAACAAGCGCAGTGATTCACTTAACAACTGTGGCAAGAAAGGTCAAAAAATGGAGCAAAATTCCCTTAGCCAATGTTTCACTTAGTAGCAGAAATGTTGGGCTCAATTTTAGGTCGTAAGAACTACCTATTTTAGCTACGTTCCAAAAGTGCACGGTCAGCCAGCAATAGTACGGGAACAGCCTTGTGCAATTTTGAAGAGGATTCAGTTTTCTTGGCAGCTGCACGAAAGGAAGACAGAAAAGAATGTCCAAAGAGAAGCGAAGAGAATCAAGTTTGCAATAACCTTCCATTAAAAGCTTCCCTGGCAAATTTGAAAAGCAGATTAATTCTACAAAATGTGTTCTGGCATTAATCCTGTACGGGGAATTGCATTTCCTTTCTCCAAAAAAAAAAGCAGTGCAATCGTTTGGCATATGTCTGGGCCAGGAGCCGGTTGGAACCGAATTAAAGCTATTCCTGGTGCTTTAATCAATACGGGATGTAAACACACACACACACACACAGAGAGAGAGAGAGAGAGAGAGAGAGAGAGAGAGAGAGAGACACGCTGCAATTTAGCACTGTTAGCACAGATCGGTCTCCCCAGCTTACCTCAAATTTATTCTAGCTGCACAAAAAAGACACAATCCCCCTTGAATCAAGTTCAGCTCCTGGGCACTATGTAAAAGTCCACTGACAGATCATCCTTGACTTACAATCATTCGTTTAGTGAACGTTTGAAGTTATAACAGCACTGAAAAAAAGTGACTTATGACCGGTTCTCACACGTAGTCACGTGATCAAAATTCAGAAACTGGGCAACTGGCCCATATTTATGACACTTGCAGTGTCCTGAGACAACTCACTTCACAACTTAGGAACAGGAATTTTATTCTCAGTTTACGTTTCTCAGAAGCAATAAGCAATTTATGGTGTGGATGTTTTTACTGTTGTAATGTTTTTTAATTGTTTTATAATGGTAGAATTGCGAGCGGCCCAGAGTCGCTTGGTCGAGTTGGGCAGCTATAGAAACTGAATAAATAAATAAATATGGAAGTAATTTCTGGTGGGTTTATTGGTGATTTCTCATCCCAATTGACACCTCTGGGAGTTTCAGATTGTGAAATCTCTTTTCCATCCTGAGCCGGTTGATTCTTTTCAAGACCAGCCAAAGTCAGACTGGAGTTGCCAGCAATGACTATTCATCGAACATCTAACTGTCCTTCAGAAGCCTCAGTTCATCACTTTCCTGAAATTTTCAAATGTTATACATAAACTGAGCATATCTTTGATCGATTAAGTTTGCAGACAAGAGCAACAAAGATGGTACTGAGTCTGGAGGCTAAATCACTGAATACTTTATTTGGGGATTCGTAAGGGTGATTAGACACACAAAGAATTTGTCTCTGGTGTGGAAGCCCTCATTGTACGTGCAAAACAACAGAATAAGGATAATCGTAATCATAATACCAATCAGAAAGGGTGAATAAAGAAGATAATAAGAAGGATAAATAATAATACTTGCAGGCATACCACACGGGCAAATACACAACAGACATTAGACATCACTGTGAGAATTAGGTGTTCATCAGAGTGATGACACGAGGGGGGAAAAACTGCCCTTGTGTATAGTTGTCTTGGTGTACAATGCCATATAAGGAAGGAGTTGAAACAGTTTATGTCCAGGGTGAGGGGTCTGGAAATAACTCCCCAGCCCTCCTTTGACCCACACAATATATAGGTCTTCTATGGAACACAAGCTGGGTGTAATTTTTATCATATGTTGAACGGTTGAGGGACTAGCTAGGCCTAGACCAAGGGTCTTCAAACGTGGCCCTTTGATGACTTGTGGACTTCAACTCCCAGAATTCCTCAGCCAACGTACCTGGCTGAGGAATTCTGGGAGTTGAAGTCCACAAGTCATTAAAGGGCCAAGTTTGAAGACCCCTGGTCTAGACTCTAGAGTCTGGTTTATTGAAGAGAAGGATTAGAGGGGACATGATAACTATCTTCCAGTACTTGATGGGCTGTCACAAAGAAAAGGGAAGTATTCTCTAGGGCACCAGAAGGTAAGACAAGAGTTAATGGGTGGAAGTTTGTCAAAGAGAGATACAACTTAGGTGATTTTTTTTCTGATGGTGAGAGCAATTAATCAATAGAATAATAGCTTGTCTCCTGGGGTTGTCTCCAGTGATGGAGATTTTCAAGAATAGACTGGACAACCATTTGACTGGGATGGAATTTCAACCTTCTGATTCTATCCTATCCTATTCTATTCTATTCTATTCTATTCTATTCTATTCTATTTATTCTCTCTTCTCTTCCTTATTCTCTCTTCTCTTCTCTTCTCTTCTCTTCTCTTCTCTTCTCTTCTCTTCTCTTCTCTTCTCTTCTCTTCCTTATTCTCTATTCTCTGTTCTGTTCTCTGTTCTCTGTTTTCTCTTCTCTTCTCTTCTCTTCTCTTCTCTTCTCTTCTCTTCTATTCTATTCTATTCTATTCTATTCTTATTCTCTTCTCTATATATGAATGCTTAAAATACAGTAAAGATACGACAGGAGATAAGTAGGTTCTACTATATTAGATTAGCTTAGAGTGTCCTCATGTTTTTGACCACTTCGACACAGAGGGGCCTTCACAAAATCCAAACTCATTTCAGTGGCTAAAGTGTTTTATCTAGAACCCAGATTTTAATTACTATTTAACTGTGATTCCCCTTGCTTTTTCACTTTCTCTCAACCTGTCCTCACTGGATTGCTTTGAGGATACTATCCTTTCATTTATTAGCTATTCTGAGAATGTGCCCACTGAAATGTGGAAAGAAAAAAGTTAGCTAGGAACATTTCAAGCTAAAGAAAGATTAGAGATAAAATAAAAATGATGAATTGCTAGGGTTTTGCCTTTACAAATCAAGAAATGTGAAATTTGGCAACAAGGAGAGGTAAATATCATACACACTGTAGCTCTGACATCTTTATTATGTGGATTTATCAGATGCTACAACAGTTCCTCAGCTTAAGGAAGTGCCTTCGGGTTAAAACTCCAATGGAACAATGGTTCCTTAGTTAATTTATTGCTCATCTCCACTGCCTTGTCCTCCCCTGCATTGTAGGCATTCCAAAGATATTTCACTGAAATAAAAATATTTTCCCCTATAATTAGGTAGGCTTTAGCATACAATCAAACCCCAAAGCAAGCTTA